GAGAGAGAGAGAGAGAGAGAGAGAGAGAGAGAGAGAGAGAGAGAGAGAGAGAGAGAGACGTTCTTGCCCTGCATAGAAAATCAGAGAGAATGGAGGTTACCATGTGGTGGTGATCCCCTGCAACCGCAAAGGCATCAATCATCGTATTTCTCTTTTGTGAGCGAATGTGCAACAGGTCATCTAGGCATATACGTATTGCCCTGTTCTTAACAGCTAAATGGCATAAACTGATACGAGGAAGTCCCAAGCTCATAAACAGATCAAAAGAAGAGAAGAACAACACAAATCTGGAAGTCCCGGCTGCACCTCACGGGCACTGACTGATAACCATGCTGTATAGGGCACAGTACTAAGGTGTTGGAGCACTGCTTGGCCTTTGTGAAGGTGTATCGCTCTGCGTATATCCATGATTGCTGCTAGTTCCTGGAGGTAGGGAAGGCATTGCCGAAGGCGTAGAAACTCTAGAAGTCATCTTTGATACCATGAAGAGCAGAGGCTTTGGGGAGAGGAAGATACAGTGGCAATGCGAGAGTGCAGGAGGAAGCCCTATGTTAAAGTGTGGCTTACAAGATAAATCCCCTTCTTCACTCACGCGATATTGCTGGATCAGGCTTTCGCCCATTGTCCAAGATTCCCCACTGCTGCCTCCCGTAGGAGTCTGGGCCGTGTCTCAGTCCCAGTGTGGCTGATCATCCGAGAAGACCAGCTAAGCATGATCGGCTTGGTCAGCGTTTACCTAACCAACTACCTAGTACTACGCGGGCGCGGTTCATGGAGGCATTTGACCAGTTGTGAAAGTTCTGGGAAGGCTTCAACCATAAAATGAAAGGCCATGTTGAGCAATATTTCCGAAAGGACGTTGGTGAGAAGGGGTTTTCAGATTTGGTTCCATATCGCTTTTCTGCATGGTTGGTTTATGAGCTTGAAACTTGAGAGAAGGGCCTTCCAGATCAGTGGCAGTGATCTTTTCTTTGTGATTGATTTACGAATGCGGACCTCCTCAGCACAGTTTTGCCATGCTGCTCTGTGGTTTATCGTTGTGCGATTCATTTTTCCCAATGCTGACATGATTGAAAGCGAGGCTGTTCTCATTCAAATAGAGGAAAGCCTCCCAGTAATAGCCTTCTGGCTCTCTCTGGAGAACGGGAAGTGAGCAGAAATGGTATTGATGACCTCTTGGCAGAAGGATACTGACCCCGAGGACTGCAACTGGGCCAAGGGCCTGTAGTATGCTCCTGGAAAGTCGGTTGCCAAGGCAGGTGGTCTGATGCTAAATTTAGGACATTGCTGATGGTCTGGCCTCTTACAAAGGCACATATTCCCACTAAATTACACTGCACATTACCCTTATATCCCTCTACTAGCGAGTGCATCATTGTGGGAACATGTGCCTTAATTTAATTGCAGAATTCGGTGATGCAGATTGTACCATCTCTTCAGTCGATCCTGTAAAGCAATGGCGCCTCCGGCTGTCTAATTGGTTGAGCTGTGGATTGTAGTTGATGGCTGGTCTTGTGCTATTTCTGTCTTTGCAGCACAGGGTTTTTGATTGGGCCCCTGCGCCAAGTCAAAATGATGTTTGACAAGAGTCGTGCGGTGGCAACGATTATTTACTTGGGTGCTATGGTCCTCACCCTGGTGGCAGCCCTTCGTGTAAGTGGGTTTGCATGGATGAGATCCCTGTTTGTGTTTCTATATGTTTCTGGCTGGCCTCTTTGCCTACGCTGTCTTTGTGTGTTGGTGGTGGGGCAGGAAGGGAGGTGGGGTGGAGGATCCCTGAAGGAAGCAAGTTGAGAACATGTAGAGGGTGGTGGTGGAATAGGGATCAAATGACTAAACATGTGCATGAGAGCAAGAATATTTGGGAAAATTTATGAGTTTTTGCGGTTTGCAGACCGATGATCGAAAGAATCACGGAGGGTGTTGTCACCCATCAGCCCATTGCTGGTCGATGTGCTGTCGAAGGCTGATAGAACATCAGCAATCCAAGAAGGGCATCCTTTCAGAGTTGTCTGAGTCGGGGAACACATGTAAGCAACAGGAGTTACGGTCTGGGACTGCAGGCAAGCAACAGTGGTTGCTGTTCCCTTTGCCAGTTTTGGATGTTGAATGTGTTCTTTCTTTTGCGTGCGTGTTTGGTTGCTGTGACTTGGAGGCCACAGTTGAAAACTTGGGTGATCTGGTAGGACTTTTCACGTAGTAGAGACATACAGATGGTGCACCCCTACAGCTGAACTGATAGGTGCTGCTGCTCAAATTGAGAATTCAGGTTGGAAAAAGGTCCACCTTCCTAAAATGTTGGTGAAAGACTGAAAAAACCTCGAAGGGATTGTTTTGAATTGTACGAGTTTGTCATCAATGTTGTGACAGTGGTTGCTTTGCTGTTTTCCAGTTTTGGATGTTGAATGTGTTTGGTGCGCGTGTTTTGTTGCTGTGACTTGGAGGCCACAGTTGAACTTGGGTGATCTGGTAGGACTTTTCATGTGGTAGAGAGTCTAGAGACATAGAGATGGTGCACCCCTAGAGCTGAATTGATAGGTGCAGCTGCTCAATGTGAGAATTCAGGTTGGGAAAAGTAAGGAGTCCACCTTCCTACAATGTTGGCGAAAGACTCAAAAAATACATTTGCAGGGATCATTTTGAGTTGTACGAGTTTTTGTAATGAACGCCGGATCACTGGCGGTGAAACATCCTCACTGCTCCTGACGAGTCGGGAGGCATAGCGGCAAAACACGTGGCAAACAAAACACGATGACCTTTGCCTTGCCAGATCGGCAGTCGAATGTTTGTATGCCAACTGCTGGAGCACTTACTAATGTGCTTACCCTAGGTCACGAACGTACTGCAAAGATCATGCGACCTATAAGCCGTTCAACTATGATAGTTATCGTGATGCTCATTGTCGTCCTCACTGACATATACAGTGATCTTTCTAAAGAATCTCGTGTTCAAAAAAAAAAAAAAAAAGAATCTCGTGTTGTCGCTTGGGCATTGGATAGTTCTCCTAGATTTCATCTTGTGCTTCTGCTTTTTTTGTGACCACAGCAGCGCAGTGTGCTTCTGTGGTGCAAAATTTGCGGTGCCATGCCCGGGGCCCTTATGTGTGATGGTATCATTGGGAATGAAATGACGAGGAGATGAAAACCTAGGAAGTTGGTAGGAAATTGCATTAAGATTGTCCGAGAATACAGTTCGACGTTTTCAGAGTTGAGCCTGTTCTGACGAATTGGAGTCACGTTCGGATCAAGCGTCCTGCAGTTAACCCGTATTTTATTATATTATAAATTGGAGTCACGTTCACAATAACCTATGTATATTTATAATTATACTATATACATGGGGAAGCACGCGACCATACGGTGTTTGTTATGCTTCCTGCCTGTCATTGAAACTAAGTGGTAAGGTCCATAAACTTAAACCACCAGTACTTGGCCCAGCTATGGATGCCGAGCTGACCGACCCCCTGCGCGCCAAGTTTTCCTGAACCGCCGCGGTGCCGTTTCGACTTTGTTTTGGCTGGCGCTTCCGGCCATTGAGGTCTGGTACCCCGAAGCCCGGAAGTTGCGGGCCGTTAACGACAACGGCCCGCGGCCGATGTATGGGCCAAGTGCTGGTGGTTTAAGCATTTATAGAAAGAGCATCCACAGATGATGCTAGATCCAAATGAAAGTTATGAGCATTTTTACGTTAATGCGTAACTTCCATACCGAGATTAGCATGATTCATAATATGGCCTTGATAGAATTACTTTGGACAGCGATCTTGTTCAAGTCAAAAGTAGTTGAGATGTGCATGCATATGGTTCTTCAGTTGAGTGCAGTTAGTTATCTATGCCCTTCCTTTGACTGTGGAGGATGCGTGCTTGTTCTTTTGTTGCGTTGAAATTTGGTCAATAGCCTTTATCCTCGCTGGGTTTTCTACCCTTCTTTGCTTTTCTCTCTTGTGGCTTACTATTCATTATCATCTGTCTTGCTAGGCTACCAGAGTGGCCCGGGTCCACTTGCCCGGCCGGGCCAAAAAGAAAAAAAAAAATAAAAAATAAAAAAAAATGAATTTTTAATTTAAAGTTTCATTTTAAATTTCGTAAAGAATTTCGATGTGACCCTGAGGCAAAAGTTGTTCAGTTTATTTTTCTTCGTAACATAGTTTTTTTTTCGAATTTTTTGGAGTTTTTTTTTTTTTNTTTTTTTTTTTTTTTTTTTTTTTTTTTTTTTGGCTGGGACCTTCCCTAGTCCTTGCACGGCCGGGCCGCCCGGGAATATAGGGTGACCCGGGCGGCCCGGCTGGTAGCCTAGCTGTCTTGTGCTTTTCAATGAATTTCTTGACGCTGATATGCACAAATGCAAGTGCCTTCCGTCACTCTTCTAACGACTGTGGTCCATCATCAGGTTTCTAACGACCTCGCCCGCCAATTGATGAACTGTGTATTTTTTTGTGCTCTACAGTTGAAGATCGTCTTGTTGACAATCATCTTCATCATCATTCAAATGTGTGCTTTTGTATGGTATGTGAACTTTTGCCCTTTCTTTGAGATTCAGCACTGCATCGGTACTCTAGTGAGCTGCTCTGCAGAATACTAGATGTGCTGTTCTTGAAGTTTCTGCCTCCTGCTGCATCTTTTCACAGTTCTATTTTTATTATTTTCCTCTATTTTTGGAACTCTTTTCCCTCTTTCCTTTCATGGCTCCAAAGACCCATAAAGATGATCTAACAAGCTGAAACTAGGGTTCGCCGTACTCACTTTGAGAGAGGACATGTTTCGGGGGGTTTGCCCACGTTGAGATGCAAAATGTTTTGGGGGTTTTGCCTGCATATGACCGAGTGCGCATGTGGATGATTTCTGAACGAACTCGACGACTGTTCTGCAGTTGTATTCAGGCTTTTGCCATGTTCCTGTCCATTTCACGGTGCAGGACTCAACTTTTGAGACAATGCCATTCATTGCGACTCAAGAAGAACAGGAATGAGATCAGGAGAGAAGAAGAATGAAGAAAGAGAAGTAGGAATAGAAGAAAAGCTTGAGCCAGTGCTATCTCTCTCCTCCTCTCGCGATCATCATGTTCCTGACTAAGTATCCGCTGCCGCTCATTAACAATGACATACAATAATAAATGACTGAATGAACAAGAATCAATGTCCGGATGATCCCCCTTACAAGCAGTGTAGGAAGACTCTCCTCGAGCGTCATTTCACTCTTGTCCTCACGTTGTATGGCATATAGATATGGCGACTCATCTCTTCCATGACATGGATGTTCAATGGACACCCTTCTACTCCCATTCCTCTCTTCTCTACCACCGCCATAGCCACGATCTGGATGAAGTCCGTGTCCAACTTGTACCCCGGCAGGGGCCTTCTTGATGCAGGAAGATGTAGATGGGCGTCTTTTCTTCCTCTATCTATAGCCTAGGCCGTCTCTCACCTCCCACAATTCCATGGGGGTCTTTCTTCCTCTCTGTAGCCTAGGCCGTCTCTTACCTCCCACAATTCCATGGGGGTCTTCTTCATCACCTAAGTGATCTGCCTCACTCTCCCTCTGGGTGGAGCAGCGGCATGACTGATGGGTGAATGGATGGATTACTCGTTGAACAGAATGATATACTCTTGCTGCCAGACCCGCAGTAGCTATTCGCTGGGCATTTTTTTGAGGGCCTCTACCCAGCCTCCCTTGGGTGCACTAGCCCTACCAGTTGCTGGTGCTTTTGGTGGGAACATCATTGCAGGCAATATCTGTACACAAGACCCAAATGTACCTCGAAAACAGTCTACGTTCGGGCCCTGGACCATCATGACCTGCTAGGCCTACCGCAGCCTCCCTTGGGTGCACTATCCCTACCAGTTGCTCCTGCTTTTGGTAGGAACATCATTGCAGGCAATATCTGTACACAGGACCCGAATGTACCTCCAAAACTGTCTACGTTCGAGCTGTGGACCATGATGACCTACTGGACAGCTATCGGACCTTTCTAGGCCTACCGGACTTCACTGAAATATGCGTACCTGGTGGCCGAACAAATTCTGCTATTTTCCTGGCCTACCTACCAACCTCAGTATCCACTACAGCTAACTTTCATCCCTGTCTCTCTGAGTCTACAATTATGTTCCGTCCTACCCCTGGCCAAGCCACAAGCACACAGCACGGCCAACACACGGACTTGGACTTGGGACTCCACACAACATACATACATCGTCAGCAGGGAATGCACAGTCTCGAAAACACAGCAAAACAGACTCGGATTAAAAAATTTCTGAAAGTAGACCAGAAGGACAGCATTTTCTCAAAGAAGTGCACTCCCTCCAGCCCAAATGTGAAGTCCCTTCGAGCTACTGTAGACTCAAGAATGTGACTGAAGGCATCATAGGCACAGAAAGCAAACACCGCTATTGTGTACTTGCGCGGTGCAGTATCAGCAGTCGTGTGTTTGTAAGCGATGCCAACATGGAGTGCAGTCTTCTGCAGTTTAGATGCAGAACTCCAGTGTGGACAGTGCGTTTCATATTCATGCTGGTGCCCCGTCCCTCTGTGTGCATTAAGACGATTCACTTCGTGTCCACTGTCGACAGATCTAGGAATCGTATACATTGTCTGCTGGGGAAATCATCGAAAGTTGTGCAAGTTGATGCAAAAAGTGTAAAACACCAGATATGTACGCAGATGCAGAGGCAGATTGACGTTGTACGAGGGGCCAAACTCAGTATCTCCTATAACCTTGAGATCAGGCGAAGGCCCATAGTTGGACAATGGCAATAACACATCTGACACCCCTTCCTCAGTGGATCATTCTGTTTGCACATGGCTGCAATCGCGGAAGAGCAAACAGCTTTTACTACTTAACCCCATATCCAGGCACGCCAAGGGTTGGTCCTGGGGGTCGATCAGGCAACAAGAATCAATAGGACTGGGGATCCATCAATCGTTCTGTCTTTCGATGGAAGTCCTGCCTGCGGCTGAAGGGATAAAACTATCATACACACTTTTTGGGCCCAGTAACTCCTCACCACTTGTGTTCTGATCAGGCACAGTCAATAATGACTCAAGTAATTGGGTGATTGACACTGATCGTCTGTTTCACTTCTCGGCTTGCTCATTGGTTTCTGATGTCGACCTGAGCTTGTGGCCGGTTCTGCCTTGCATAGGTCTGCAACGACTTGCTGAGTCTGCAGCCTGCGGCCCGTCGCACCGAGGCTGTAACATAGGTAGGACAGATTCGCAATTTTGTTTTACGAAGGACTAACCGTGATATCCGCCTGTGGGGAAATTCGTGAGGGACATATCTGCAAATTTGGGAAAATTTTAGGCCCGGACTACCACGAGGACAGACAGGCCCTACGGCCTACGCTGATAGACTGGTCCTGTAGCCTATAGCCGGGTAGGGAGAGGCTGTAGAGGCTGGAACTGAAACGGTACTGGTCGGTCCAGTAGGTCCGGTCTAAGTCGAGTCTAGGCTAGAGTAGATCTCTGAGGAAGGCTGTTCAGGGCTTTTGGCGGTTGGCATTTAGCAGATCGTGACGGCACACTGCGTGAACTGGAGTGGTGACAGGTTCAGCGTTGAGGAAGACAGACATAGCCAGACTCTGGAAGCGTCGGCCATAGATGGGTCCTTCGCTGTTCTCTGGCAGCACGTGGGGCTGCTCAGAGGTCTGGGCTATCTGAGGTCTGCTGGGAGCTCGAGAAGTGGTGCTCTGCGGAACCCTCCTCAGGAGTAGGGTTCAGGTTGGTGGCGCCGCAGCCATAGCTGCAGCTTACCTCCTCAGAGATCTCCTTTGTCAGGAAACGTGGCGCTGCTGCAGATCTTCATCAGTGGAGTTATCCGGCACTTCATCTTCATCGGAGACTGTGGCACTGGTCTTCTTCTTCCTCCTCTGAGAGGCCCTTGGCCTCAGGGGCCTGTTTCAGGGTGGCGCTTCCCTCTGGAGGCAGTATCTGGGTGGCGCTGGTTGTTTCAGCGGTTCTGGGGTAGTAGAATGCGGTTACTCTGGGTTGGAAGTGAAGCGCTGCTCATTCCTGAGCAGCGCACCATGTTTCGACTATTCTGGCAAAACGATTCTCTGAGTTTAATAAACAGTGTGGATACTGTGTGAAAACTATCTTTGCTTCATTGTTTTCTGGATGTGATCTACTCTACTTTCCTTTGTGACTGGTTGTGGGGATTCTGTGGAGCGAATTGCACTCTCAGTGTGTTCTGTCATATCGCATGGTCAAGTCTTCCGCTGTGTTTCTCTCTCTCTCTGTGCGGTGTGATGCTCCTATCCTCTCCCCTTCCTTCTGCGTATGTATGGGCAAAGTCTATGTGAGCGAGTGTTGGTCTTCGGACAACAAGCAACCAGGTTCATAACAGGTCGGTAGTGAAAGCCGTCAATTGGGTGCTAGTGAATCCAGTATCCGGATCACGGGGATTTTTTTTTTTTTTTGGGGGGGGGGGGGGGGGGGGGGCATGTGAAGATGTGGTGCTGCCGAAATTCCTTGATAATGACTAGATTAGTAGGGCGTTGCGGCGGTAGAGGAACCCGTACGTACTACTTCCTCCATATCAGTCTGGCTGCATGAATCAGCCACCCGTTGCGTAAACATAGGACCAGGAAGTCGGCTCCCTAGCAATTTCTGCTGCGATGGACTTGCAAAATGATGTGCAGAGGCCAAAAGATCCAACCCTAACATTCATCCAATCAGGCCGACAGGAAAGAGCATCCACCTCATGGCTGTAACTTATAACATCCCTAACTTGTGTTTCACCTCAAGCACATCACAACCCTTCCGTACATTGATTGACACCCAGCGTCTTGATCCAGTGCAAACTCTGATGATCAGAGAAGACTTTGAAGTGGTGGCCAAGGAGATAGTGCCTCCGCCTCCAATAGACTATGGCCTCACAGAGTTAAATACAGCTCCCGCTTGGAGGTAGAAGCATGTACACTTTGTGAGGGCATGGGCCTTTACTTGTGGATTGAACTGTACACCTGTGTAGCATTGTGTTCGGGTTCGGTGACCGAACCCGAACGTTCGGGACCGAACGCGAACGAGCGCCGAAACTCTCCGAACGCGAACATAAAAATATTAAAAAARAAAAAAAAAAAAAGGTTCTCCAAAAAATCTGAAAAAAAATATGTTATGTAAAATGATAATACAAACAACTTTTGCCTTGGAGGTATGGTCAAATTCGTAACCAAACTCGAGTTAAAAATCAAAAACCAAAAAAAAAAGTTTTTTTTTTTTGAATATGTTCGGCCGAACACGTTCGGGTGGCGTTCGGCCGAACACCCGAACATGTTCGGACGTTCGGAGAAGCTCCGAACATGTTCGGTGTGCTACACTGCTGTACACTAACCGTTCTCATGCTGTACTGACTTGCATCGGTGGTAGCACCACATGGTAAAGCAGGATCTGCGATGCTAAATATAGGACAACTAGCCAAGGCGGTTCTCAAATTCTGAAACCCTGTCTTGCATGCATTGGTCCAAGAAAAAATGTTCTTGGCTGTCATTCGACTGGCGGATGTGCAATAGATGAAAAATTGAGGACAAATTTGAAATTTGCGGTATCATGGGGTTAAACCCGAAAATGATTGCAAGTTAGTAATTAGTAATTATGTCCTTCGGGACATCCGTTAAAATTGGAACGATACAGAGAAGATTAGCATGACCCCTGCACAAGGATGACACACATAAATCGAGAAATGGTCCAAATTAAAAAGAAAAAAAGAAAAAAGAAAAAATTTCAAAAAAAAGTAATAAGTAATTATAGTACACATGTTCGTAGGTTGGTACCAAAAGTTGACGAGCTCCACCTTGGGTGCTTCCGGCTCAAGACATTGAGCAAAAATCCGACCGCAAGATAGATGACACCTGAGTTTGGGAAAGTTAAAGCCATCGCTCTTGGGCATCAGATTTCTGCGGAACGTCTTGGTCTGGAAGCAGCGAAGGTGGAGGCTATCACCTTTTCTCAGAGCAGTGAGTCCAACAGAATCCGACGCCCAAGATAGATGACACCTGAGTTTGGGAAAGTCAATGCCATCGATCTTGGGCATCAGATTTGTGCTGAATGTCTTGGTCTGGAAGCAGCGAAGGTGGAGGCTGTCAGCTTTTCTCAGAGCGGTAAGTGCAACAGAGTTAGCACGCAGACTTGAACTTGTGGCGCAGAACTTGAAGAGGCAAGCGCACGGCAGACGGACTCATAAAACACTGCAAAACAGACTCAGATTTGGAAATGTCAGTAATCAGATGAAAAGGACAGCATTTTTTCTCAGGAAAGTGCAAATTTCTCTGGCCATGTGTGCAGGCCATTGCACTTGTTTGCTGGTGGCTGGCAGGGGGGGTATTGGGGTGTCATGAGTGTTGACCCCCCCATTGGGGAACAGAATCTTTGTGAGCAAGGGAGTGCAGGGTGAGAGGGCTGGCAGGGCAAGGGTGGCAATGTGCATAAGGAAGAGGGAGGAATGGGTTGGGATGGGTTGTTGTGGGGGATCAATGAACCAAGTTCATTAAGAAGGGGATGAAGCTGAGCAGGTGTAAACAGATATGAAGTGAATGTGTGTTTTGACGAAGTACGGTTACGGTTATTGCTGTGAATTTGCAGGCGCAGCTGGCCAGCACTCTGACATTGTATTCAGCTCAGGCATGCCAATTCGCTTAAAGACAAACTATTTTGAATTCCAGACCTCATATCAGGTTAAAATGATTCGATGTTGCAAGACAGCTGGTACGCAAGCAGTAAAACATGTTCCGTAATGCCTCGTCAACGAAATAATGGGCAGGATACTGAGGATAGAGCATTCTTTTTCAAAAGGCTTTAGACCACCACTTTGTGGCTCTGGGAAAATGAATAGGTGGGCAAATATATTGGCCGCAACTTTCGGAGTTTGGGGCTACGGGACCAGAAATGGATCGCACCGAAAGCCGAACAGAAAAAGAATTGCACCCACATCGGTTTGACTTTTGCAGCACGATTAGGGTTGGGAAAAACAGCCTCGGACGGAGGAATTTAAACCGGCAGTACCTCCACGTTTTAGGTCGTTAACGCGGTGGCTGAATCGGTGCGCCGCGCGGGTCCATATGCATTTGCGTCAGAGCGTTTCCCAAGAGGGGGCCGAAGACCCCCTGGGGTACTGGTGGCTTAAGGTGGTAGGCTGCAGAGGGGTTGTTCCTCGGAACATCTGTTAGAATTGGATGTATACATGACCCGGGGGCCGGTCAGTTCCATGATGATACCTCAAGGCTGTCGCACTGTTTTGAAAAAAAAGGACTAATTTTTTTTACCACCCAAGCAGAGGTGACCTTGGAGGGCCTTGAAGGCAATTCACCCCCGCTGGTACAACTGATATGAGCTCAGTTTTGCTGGGACAGCAGTGGAGCTGATGTACATTTGTTTGTTTGCCTCTGTGTGTGTGTGTGTGTGTGTGTGCGTGTGTGTGTGTGTGTGTGTGTGTGTGTGTGTGTGTGTGTGTGTGTGCACAGGTATTGTCTTAGCTATATCCCATTTGCGAGGAGAATGGTGCAAAGCTGTTTCCAGTCCTGCGCATAGTCACAGGGATGAAGGGTCTCTAACCTTCCCTCTTTGGTGGAGTCCACCTGCCTTCGCACATAACCTTTCTTTTCTGTCAAATGTTCCTCTCAAAAGCGGACTCACTTTCGTACCTGTTCATGGTGCCCGTATGCTGTTAGCGCTCATAGCAGTTATTGCCAGTTCTCTCTCATCCTTATCTGATGGGTAAGCTCAAGAAGTAATCTGTTTGACATGGCACAGAGGTCAAAGCGAAAGGCGGAGAGCGCTGGCTGGTGGTGTTCCTGGCACACTACAACACAGGCTAAGTCTGAGATCAAGGCTTAGAAGAAATCTTGCGTTTGATGCTGAAGAAGAAATCTCACCGAAGTTGAGGGTTTACCTGATGCGAGCTTGAGAACTGAGCATTTGGCTCTTCGTAGCTTCCGCTTCAGATCTTACGCGGAGACTGAAGCCAAAGTGTTGTGAGATGCTTTGCTAACTTCCAGGGCTCGAAGAGCGGGAAGCAGGCCACAAGGTGGAGGATACGCGGGCTGTGCTTGAGATTGGGTCTCAAGGCTTGGCATGAGACAGATGATTTCGGTCCTGGGATCTAGACTGACATGAATGAGAGGGAGACCAAAGCTCTGCTGGGGCTTAGGCGTGGATTCTGACCAAAGTAGAGGGCAGAGGCCAAGGCTTCCAGTCTAATGCTGGGGCTGCTGCGCAAGCTGTAGTAGTGCCTGCTGAGCTTTAGCCTACGGCCTCGGTTTGGCCTTTGGTGGCCAATTCGGGGAGACGGAAGCAGAGAGAGACTGATGCCAAGAATGGTGCGGAAGCTGAAGATGCGGTGAGAACTGCCCGACTGGGCTCAAGGCAGGGATTGACGCTGACATCGACGTTTAGGCTGGGGTTACAAGCTGTAATCGGCCGAAGCTGCAGCCGAGCCTTCACACTGTTCACAGGTTGTGCAACGGAAAAAGGTCAGAATGAAATTGAGGCGAAAAGATAAGGCAAAGCCCAAGGGACGGGCGATGTTCAGAGGCTGTCGCTTTGTGGCCAACTCTCGGGAAGCATCTCAGGCTGAGACTGAGACACTGAAAAGCAGAGGCATCGCTTATGGTGATGGAGAGGCTGCACTTGTCCGTATTCAGGCTGAAGCGTCATCCTCGAAGCTTTGCCCTTCACGAATGCCCCAAAACGGAGCTGAAATTTGGTAACCGCCCCTCTTTGCCCCTGCAAATTTGTGGAACCGTACTCCCCACCTCTGCCTGACGGTAGTGCCTGTATGTCTGTGGTTGCTTGGACGGATGACTGACTGTTGCATTGGTGAATTTTGGCTCTTGAAATTTGTATCGTTTGCCGTTAAGGGTTGGAGTGTGCTGTCCTCTGTGCCGCCAGCGGATCCCGTATGTACAATCCATTTGGCTCTCTGTTGTGGACGCTTGCGAACTGAGCGGGAATCCATAGTCGACACAGTGCAGGTATGTAATTTTGCCAGTAGCTAAAAGGAGAGAAAGAGGGTATTTCGGACAGGAGAGAGGAGGATTGTGGGGACATAGGACCTTGGTTGCATACCCATATGATTTTTTTTGAGGTGAGAGCTCATGTAAGTATGTCAGGTCTTTCACTGGCGCCCTCTGTGTGGGCGGTATGAATTATGCTTTCGATGGCATGGCTCTTGGGAGTTGCTGTACGGGAGTACAGCAAATTCATATAGTGATTGTTGGATGGGTATTTGGTTAAGTAACTAGCATCTGACATTGTTAAAAAATTTGTTATAGCATTTTTGTGCGGGTTTGTCATTCCTGCGTCTAGGAGAGCATGTGCGTCCTTCCCCCCAAAAAAATGGACAGTAGAGGTGGTTAGTCGGAGGGGGTTAAAAGTTAAAACGAAGGGACGAAAATTAGAAAAGAGCAATAAGAAATCTGCGGGATATTGGGACGCTGTCATTGGTGGTGGGAGAAGGGAAGGTTCTCTTCTTGTTGATCCAGAGAGAAGATGAAGGCGGCGGAAGGAATTTAGAACATAGCAAATAATAGTTTAAGAGACTCAAACGAGTTTCATAATATTCATGTATGAATGAATTGAACGTACGGTTCTTGCCCGATCTTTCCCTCATTACTGTGGCGCTTGCAGCGGGGAGGGCTCTGCATGTCTCTAATTAGTGCGGAAGTTGTGCTTGGACTTTCTAAGATGCATCTGGGTGAACTTCCAGCCAGATTCCAAAAAAAAAAAAAAAAAAAGGTCAAAGCACAAGTATGGCCTACAACCAACCCAGATGCGTGATTGCATGTTAAAAACAAAAGAACCAGCATTTCCTTAGTGCCTGGCCCCCGCCAATCTCAGTTCCCCGCACAAGATTGCGTGCTGAGCCTGTGGCTGAGGGGATAGAATGAGTTCCGTGCAACTCAGTTGATTATCCCCTCTGAAGGATGGCAGTCTTTTGCTGAACGACATGAAAGAACTGTGGAAAAAAAAAAGGTTTTTTTTTTTTTTTTTTTATCTGTTCACATGGGCACCTATCTTATCATATAGATTGATCAAAACCTTGCTCAGGTGATGCTGATTGTTGATTTCATCTTTTCGTGCAGTCGTGGAGATTTCGTTGATCTTGATGGCCATCCATCCACTCTGTCTGGCCATGTGTATACCTGTGTCCATCGAAAGACCCAAATACGTGTCCATGGACACAGGTCTACCCATGGCCATCCATCCTACATGAGCATGTAGGATGACCCAAAAAAGATGCAGCAGCAGACGAGCTGTGGTGGGTTGTGCAGTTAGCGTTCATTGATTTGGAGAATTTTGGACCATGGTAACCGTCCGGACGTCCGGACCGGGTTCCAGACAGTCCGGTGTCCGGTGTCTGGTCCTGATGTCCGGATGGATGCCCCTGGGGAGAAAAAAAAAAGAAAAAAAAAGGGGGGGGCGGTGATGTGCAATAAATCGCAGTATCCCAGTGGGACTGTACACTAACTGTGTTTGCTGTTTCATTGTTTTGGGCCTTGCGACTTGATCCCGTGACCTGTAGTGTGTTTGTGGTTTTTGACTGTTTTTAAGCTTTATTGGGCTTGATTGAGCCTTGGAACTTTCGCTAGTAGCCTCTACTTGGTAGGCGTAGGCTAACTGTGTTTGCTGTTTCATTGTTTTGGGCCTTGCGACTTGATCCCGTGACCTGTAGTGTGTTTGTGGTTTTTAACTGTTTTTAAGCTTTATTGGGCTTGATTGAGCCTTGAAACTTTCGCTAGTAGCCTCTACTTGGTAGGCGTAGGCCTTTCAGCCTTGTTGTTTTGTCCTTTTCTGCCCTTCTGGAAACTGGTAGGCCCGTAGGTCTTTTTTTGTGTGTGTCCTAGCCTTGGGTCCCCTTAGTCCAGGTTTCCATCTAGATGCATGTAGGTAGATCTTGATTGTTTGGTCGTAGATGTTTTTGCTGTTTGGACGGTCGGATATTTCTGTGGGTGGCTGTTGTTTTGTAGGTCTAGGGAAGTCAGGTAGAAGTAGGCAGAGGCCGACGAATTTGGGGTTCTTTTCGTTGCCTTTTTTTCACGGTCTTGGTGGAGGTCGCATTGCGTCCCGGCTGCGCTATTGTGGGCATGTATGCAGGGCATCTTCTCCACATGCCGCTGGCGACCATAGTTGGGGCCGGCCAGCTCCATTGGTGACAGCGCTGGGCTCGGCGCCCAAGGGCTGATGAGCGCTTCCTCATATTGGTGTGTTTGTTGGGGTTTCGTCAGCTGCCACCGCAGCTGCACTTTCAGTGGTTCTTCTTCAACATGGCAGATCTTCATCTTCGTCGAGTTGCTCTTCTTCTTCATCATCGTGGGAGCTGCGCTCCCCTGCTGAGTGGACACGTCATCTGCAGTGGGCTTCTTGAGTGGTGCAGAGAGGGGTGTTGTTGGATTTTGGAGGGTGTGCGGCGATTGGCAGCCTTCATAGGTTGGGTGCTTGCTTGCAAGCACCACAGCTAGAGCTTGAGGAAGAGGGAGGACGAAGAAGACTCCCGGATACTTCGATGAAACCTCGTAACTAATTGTTCCGTGGGTGAAAAAAAAAAAAGAAAAAAAGAAAAAAGGTCCGTGATTATTGATCACGTGGTTGGGATTTTCTTGGAAATTTTCGTGCTGTTGATGGACTTGGGGAGCGACGGTAATTAGAATTGATTTTCATTTCAAATTTTCAATTCTATTTTCGGTATTTGTGTGCTTTCGCTGTGTCGTCTTATCATCCGGTGTGATGTGGATTGCTCCCTCCAAAGGACACTTGTCATTGCACTTGTGTATGGGAACGTGTGGATGCCATGTTGGATCTCGTTTCAATCGGGCACTAGCACATGCGTCTACAAGTGTATCTACTGATATTCCTTTTGAGGAGAGGCACACATCCATCCATATGTCCATCACTTCAATCACAATCCGCTGCAGCTCCCGTGCACATCCACCCCGCCTCACCCACACCATTGTACTACGCTCTGCCTTCCCATCCCATTTTAGGTCACTGCATCGGAATCCCCATTAGCCCCACTCTGTAGGACCACGAACTCCCATCCTCGCAAATGGAAATCGCTGAGATCCGTCCTCACCCTGTAGTAATAATCCCCATTAGCCATATTTGTCGAACCCCTCCTAGGTCAACGAGTACTCATCTGGGTAGCGGACGAGCAGTACACATCCTCCTCACTCGCAGCGCCCGTGTAATACCCTGGTCTGGGGTGGCAGGGATAGAGAAGGTGAGCACTTTAGTAGATCAGCCTCAGAATGTGCGTGGTCTATGATGAGAGCGTAGCTCTATCCAAATCGCCTTTGGAGCCCTGTGGCTTATTATTATGTGGTTATGGGTCAAGTGTCGAACCTGTTCGGATCAGTTTAATATCGGAGAACTGTAGGAAATCTACTTTATATTAGTTTATAACATTATAACTTATAAGTTTACACCACATATTTAATTTGTTTCTGGTTTCAATTGTTTTTTTTTTTATTAGTGGCCACGATTGGAGCTACGGTACCTACCAATGGCTACCATGCATAAGACTACTCAGATAAGAAGAAGATGGTTTTCAAGTCTCAACAAATGATGGTAGATTTTCATAAGGCTATTTAGAAACACACGACAGTAGAAACCCACGAGGATAGCTATTCACGCAGGCATTTTAATGAAGCGTAGGACAGGACTGCTGTCACCCTGACAATCGGCTCCGATGCCCATGCCTTCTTTGCCCCAGTATCTGACAGACTATTTATTTATTTTCATAATTTTTTTGCCAAATTAGTAAATTACAGAATTCTTACAAGTCTTATTTTTTGTAGTGGCCTTGACTGGATCTACAGCAATTTTTTTGTAGACATGGACACACAACATGGCAGCAAACTGATGCAACCAAACTGCGGGGGTGTTCCCTCATTCTCTAGTCCTGTCACTCGGCCGCATGTGATGACAGGGAATCTGTGCACATCGTGTGAGAATACAATCTGCAGTGAACTCCTCGGAAATAATGAAACGTGAACTTCCCTGAGTCTTTTACTCTCCGCCTCTGTTGACTTCGTTGAAGAAGCCAGCGCCCCATCCATCCCCACAACGAGGAAGATTATGAAGGGTCCACAATCTGCAGTGAACCTGTCTCTTATACACATCTAGATGTGTATAAGAGACAGCAATGAGGAAGATTATGAAGGGTCCACAATGAGGAAGATTATGATGGGTCGATCGCTGAAACCAGGCCAGGCCGATCCGCTACAAGATCGAACGTTTGCGTTCATACAGCGACGTAAAAAAAAAAATTGTATGTGTGCCAGGACATTGAGGGAACCAGGCCACGAAGTGGCAACGGCATCCGAACCGCACTATGTACTCACTTCAACCCAGAGAGCATACGGTGGAACCGGTGAACCATGCAGACGGGTCCCTCCCTCCCTTTCGGTTTGCACCGGCAAATGGTGCGAACAGCCCTACAGAAAGAAAAAGCCTGCTGACTCTGGGGTCAGCGTTCCCTTTCAGGCCGTTCTGCCGTCAACGACTCGTGGCGGAGAGGGTTAGCCTTGCAGTAGGGTAGAGCCATGCTCCATTTTCCCCCCTTCTTAATTCATAGTAAACCTGGGTAATTTGTTGGGGTGCATAGGCTGCCCACGCCCTCTTGGAAGGCTGCCCGCCTATTGGGTCACCCGTTTGGTGTCCAGGAAGCCCTCAGCACCCACATGAAATTAAACTGGGTGTTTTCACACCTGGAAAAAAACTCGGCGTTTTCACACCTGGTAGGGAGCCTAGTGCTCTTCCGTAAGCCGCCAGCTTCTCTAAACCGCCAGTACTTTTCCCAGCCGTTTTGTCCCAATGGGCCTGTTAATGCGCCTTGTCTCAGGTGGTGCCAGGCAAAAGAAATGGAAAATGTGCCCTTGTCGGCTCATTTTCTGGCTCGTTTTCGATTGCGCGAGCATGAATCCACATTGGAAAAAGGAGGCCTGGAAGTGATGGCGGTTTGAAGAAAAATGATGATGATGATGATGATGATGATGCAGATGGAATGATGATGATCATCATAAGAGGATTCCTACATACCGCCATCCTGTCGAAGTTGCGGGTGACGATGGTAATTTTTACTAATTTTCTTTGATCGCCCACCCGTCCTGCCCCAGCTTCACCCCTGAGCAACCAAATTTTGCTAACCATTGAAAAAGAATAAAAAAGAATAAAAAAAAACAGGTTAGAAAGGAAAAGAGATGCCCCCCGACCTAGAAATGAAAGAAAGGAAAAAACGTAGGGCGGGTTCCTTTGCATGCCTGTGGTGCCCCAGGTGGCCCCCTGGCTGCGCAACCTGCTTGGATGATGGCTGGATGGCCACACCCCGGGCGGCGTGTCCCTTGTAATCTTATACCAACTTTACTGTGAGAAAGTTTTTCGAAAGAATGAAAAATGATCTCAGGGTCTACCAACTCTGCAGATTTGTTGCCCATGCCTTTCACCAGGATGCCCGGCGACTGCCGAACCCGGCACCTGCATGACACTCGGTGGGCTCGGTATTCGTTCACCCTCTGTACTGC